TAAACAGTAGTAGCGCTTGAGCGTCTGAGTAATCAAACCATGACCTAACTTGATGTGCGAATCGTACCAAATCTTATAAAAACTCTTTTTTTTGTATTGAATTATTATAACAATATGTATATATATTATAAAAGTTGTTATTAAATATCATATTAAATTCCTCGTTCGATGGCGGTTTCTTAGTTGACTGTTGACGATGCTGATATATGAAAATAACAAATAGTATGAAAATAACAAATGCATTGTATTTCTTCTCATTTACGAGTTTATAAATTTTTTAAATAATGGCTGTGAATCACCAAAAAGAAGCAATTAAATTATCAAAAACAATTAGCAGGGGCGGCCTTAGCCATTGCGAGGCCCCGGGCAGTAGATCTTTGCGAGGCCCTTATCCTTTACGGAATTTATGTGAATTGAAAATATTTTTAATGATGATGCTTGACGAGAAATGCAAAAGTTATAAATAAATAAATTTAGAGTTTTAAAATTGTATATTGGAAATTCAGAAAAGTTAACAAGCACAAAGAAGAAAAATTTATTATTTTGTTAACATTTTTAGTCTTGCTTGCCATTAATTCTCGTGACTTGCCATTAATTTTATAAACTCATTTTGAATATTTTTCCGAGATGTGGACATTATTTGTATCCCTTTAGAATTCACGGGCTTGGAGGAGCCCGGCCGTTTGGAAGACTTGTGTTCCTCAGGTTCAACACGTAGAGACCCTTGAGATTTAAGCGTTTAACATGAAGCATCAGCCGGGATCCATCTCTGAGTAACCCATAAAAGGAATTGCTCAAATATGGTCCAGATAATGCGTAGGGACTATGGAAAATTTAAAACACTAATAGGGTCTATGGAATGGAGTTTGGATGGGCTACAAAACTGGGCTATTGGATAAGACTATCGGGCGTTCGCCTTCTCAACAGTCTCAGATTCAATATTTGGCGTACGGTTACTCGCCTCCCACTCGCGGTATAATGACTCGGGCACAGTATCAGCGTGGTCGGCTATAGGTGTCGAGAAATGTGCACTGGTTTCACCATCGCAAATGCTCGTGAGCGGGTTTCCTCGTTATTTTGCATATTGAGCACTTCTACTCTTTTAAGCACTTGGCTCTTGTGCTCCACTCTGGAGGGCCAAAGACTCTGGGCTAAAGAGTCAATAGATGTACAGCTTTTATAAGCCAGTCTCTAAATTTAACCATACGTTCACACCCGATCTCTAAATTTAACCATTTTAACATACGATCTTTTTGCAGTCGACTAGATTAATGAAACTTTAAATATTTATCCAAGTTTTTCCAATTGAAAACTTCTGCACTGGACCCAATTTTTTGTATTCTATTCTGAACAATTGACATAGAATGCAGTAAATGGCATATTTTGTTTGTGAATAACTCATCCAGTGCCTGTCTAGTTTTTCGCCATTAGCTAATATTTTATTGTAATGATACCTATTCAATGAATGAGTCTTTCTGTATAGTAAATGTCAGTAACAGCCAGGAGTGGAGAAGTTGGCGGTGTTTCACCCCCGTGCCTCGGAGAGCACGTAAAGCCGTCGGTCCTGCGCCTTAACTCTCACTGGTCGTGTCGAGCAGTCGTCCCACCGGAGTATGAGAGTGATAGGAATAGAGAGTGCACTTGTGCCTGCGCGTACACTTGAGCACTATAATATCTCCTGAGCAGTTGGCTAGACTCAATGACATTGGCCGCCGTGGCTGGAATCGGCTTGGAGAACATCATCATCATCATCATCAATGAGTCACCGTCCACTATCGTTTGAAGAAATTCTGTCTTAGAACAGATTAGACTTTTCAATGAAATCTTAGTTCGGTCTGCATCAGTAATTATTGATGGCCATAAATCTGGGTCATTTCAAGGATTCAGATTTTCAATTCCGCCACTGGATGTAGACATAGATTTAGGTACGTATTTTTGGCTGGATAGTGTTCACGACGGCGATGGCGGTGGAGTAACAATGATGTTGCTTACTCACTGTTGTTGTTGAAAAAAATATTTCAGCTGGGTTAGGATTAGAATGCAATAACATGTAACTTTCAGTCACTAAAGAGTCTCAAGGACTTAGAAGCCATTGTCTTTTATATATTTATACAAATACACATAAAGATATTGTCTAAATGCTTTCTTTTGATAGCTTGTTGCCTTTTTGAACTATTGAACTAATTTTTTCTACTGGCAACACAATCGGCCAAACTCAGTTTGAAAATCATTTTTGCACATAAAATTTATAAAAAAATTACAAGCAGTTTAACGCAGTTTTTTTTACTAATTCACTCTTTACTATTATTACTTATACTTAATAGTGCAAGATTTAATATTAATAAAGATTTATTGAAAAATACGTGATATGTGCTTGTACTTGCACGTTGTGGGTTTTGTAATGTATGGCGTAAGGCACGAGATTCTAATACACTTGGGTTGTTGTGCGAAGGCGCGAGGCTACTGAAAGTGCGAGGCCCCGGGCGGTTGCCCTGCTCGCCACCCCCTAAGGCCGCCACTGACAATTAGTAATATCTGATGAAAAATAGACCATGTACTGTAACTTGTAAGGAAAACTATATAGTACTTATGACATCAATCCATTTACAAAAGTGATGCACTACATAAGCACTGAATGGCAAAAAATATTGTGCATATACTCATATTCATGGTCCAATACACACATGTTTTCATTTAAAACTTCTATTAATTATTTTTACACTTGTTTAAACTTTTCATTATTTCATGGCAAAATTTGCTTAAGCAGTTAATAGCATATTATTTTTTTATATAATAAGTTTAATTTTGTATGGTATATCATAATATGGTAAGAAAATCACATAAGCAAGAGATTTGATCATCAAACATGACAAATTATTTTGAAAGGAAATTTCTATCTTAAAATATCAACCACTTTTTTAATTAATATAGGTATTTAATATCTTCTTAAATATTTAAATTATGTATTTTAATCTGAATTCCAAACCATTTAATAAATTTACTAATTTAACCGTATTAACAAAACTTATCAAATGACATTTTAAGCCCTCGAAAAACCTATATTATCCCGGGCTGACTGGAAGAGATCTCTTTTAGAGATACCACCTTTTTCCACATAAGTCATTCTATGTATTTTTAAAGACTATGTAACTTATTATTAGCACTGCAAAATTTATATTTCTTTAATGGTTTCAATGTTTGGCCAAACAATTCGGGTCATCTTTCTTATAAGTACACTGTTCACTATTTTCTCATACAATTTTTAATAACTTTTTGTTCCTATATATATTAAAATAGTACTAATTTTTGACATTATTTTTGTTTATTCGGTATGAATTTTTATCCATGATAATGATTGTACTCTCAGATTTAGCTGCTCTAACTTAATTTGTACGTTTAAATATGCCTAGCAAAGGCTATATTGTTATAAGTCACTATTTATTATAAACATAGCTAAAGTACTTTTAAAAATAATTTAAGAATTAAATTACATATAAAGAATGTTGGGTAATAATATGGGTATAATAATTATAGTTATAAACAATTTGTAAAATGTTTGTAGCTCTATATATAGTTAATTAGTTAGTCGTTTCACAAGAATGGCTAGATTATTTATAATCATATTTTTATAGTAAAAGTAGTAAAGATCAAGCGTAATCATAAAAAAAAACATAGTCGAATTGAGAACCTCCTCCTTTTTGAAGTCGGTTGAAAATAACAGTAACTACAATCAGTTCAGTTAACTCAAGGCAAAGATTTCGCAACCCCATTGATTATATATTTAATAATATGTTCTAATTATCTAACACCTAATCTTTGAATATTTTTTTTAATAAATCGATTAAAAATAAATAAGGATCTAATATTTACCAAGGAGTATAATATTTTTTTTAATTTATAACAAATATTCTCATTAAACACTTCAAAATAATAAATGTATTATATAATTTAAATCCCACTAAACGATTTATGTAAATAAAAAAGGAATTAATATAAAGTATAAATTTAAAGGTTGCTTGTAAGAAATCAATATTTAGCATTGAAGGCCTTGTTAATATTGCTCTTCTAAATTTTATTCTATACTGTCATATTTTGAGTTTTATAAATAAATTTACTTCATTTAAAAATAGAAATAATTTAAAATGTGAATAGAATATGAATTTCTATTTAAAGCAAAATAAATATAAATAGAATAGGAATGTAAAAGAAACAAAAAGATTACCTTGGTGTCTGAAGAATAAAACTTCACTAATTAATCTCCCACTTAAAACTTTTATTATAGATACTTTGTTATATGTATTATCACAAATCCTGGTAGACTTTAAAACACAATCACGCAACTGACAATCTTTATCTGTATTTCCTTGATTATTGATTTTTCATATAAACATAATTTACACAATAAAACACAATCTGCAATATGACTTAGGTGTAAACTCTTACTCATCGCACTTCACTCTACACAATCATATAAGATTATTGCATATTTGGATGGCTTATTAATTCTCTAAAACCGTCCTTGTCCTTCCACATTATTAATCTCATCAAATTATATACAAAGTTGACTAATATTACATTACATTACAAATGTTACTGCTGTTGCTTAAAAATTTGATACAGCTTCTGTTTCCAATTTTGAATTTTAAGACTGTTTGTAATAGATAAAACATGATTTTACTCAAAGCTAAATATAAAATGTTCCAATCAGAATATAGATATTTTGTTTACTTCATATGATAATGGTTACTGCGGGAGTATCTACCAGTACTAAAGTATGAAAATATAAGATAAAGCACCTCGATTGGACAATGGTATGTATCAAAGATATTAACAACGTGATATGACGCGCATCGCGACCGCCGAGGGTCCAGCGATCGGGGCCTACAGGCTAACGCCTAGGCCCCGCTGGAGATTCGCGGCCGTCAGCCGAGGTGGGCTCACTCCCTCCTCGCCCTTGCAGTCTTACGAGAAATAAATGCCACATTACACACTAATTATTAAAGCACTGTACAACAACAATAATTATCCTTTTTCTTTTCAGGGCTAACGTTCATTTCACGCACTATTTCGGCGAACATTTCGTTGACGTTGGTACGACTCTTGGCCGATGCTTCCACGAATGGACAGCCCCACATTTGCGCGAGCGCCTGGCCCTCTCCTTGTGAAACCTCGCGTTGGTGTTCCAAATCGGCTTTATTGCCTACTAACAGTATAGGCACACGTTCTGAGCCTTTGACACGAGTTATCAATTCCTTCATAGGCTTGATATCTTGAAAAGTCTGATGATTGGTTAATGAGTATACAACTACAAATCCTTGTCCATTCTTTATGTACAGATCTCGCATTGAAGCGAACTGTTCTGTACCAGCGGTATCCAATATTTCTAAAACACATGGGGAATTGTCCACTTCGATTTCTTTCCTATAGAAATCCTCTATGGTGGGGTCATATTTTTCCATGAAACATCCAGACACAAACTGCACAGTCAAAGCACTCTTCCCGACCCCACCCGAGCCAAGCACGACCACTTTGAATTCGCGCATTATTGTGCTATATAAATCACACTTGCCAGTCTACTACAAACGTTTCAGAAACGTATTCTCACTTTGTGCTATAAAAATGTCATTGCTATGTTGGTTAATGACTCACTCGGATGCGATCACTGAGAGATGTTCACATAAAGAATTATAACTAAATGATAAATAGGGACGCCATTTTAGTTACATGAGTAGCAAAACAACTTTGATTGCATCGCGGTACTCTTCTATTCACTTTACTCTCGATAGTACAAACACGGAAGCAACATCTATCCAACTGACTCGTTTGCTAGAATTGGCACCAGCAGCAGGTTGGTCAATGCACTCTATTGCAATGGTTTGATTGGCGAATGGGAGTATTTCCAACCGGATGTCGGTGTTGCACACGTAGTTACAATTTTTTACATTAAAATTATATTACCTTTGTCTTATGTTACAATAAAAGTTAGATAACTTTATAAATACCTCTAAAAATAAATAAATCTGTTGTATTTCTTATTATAAATACACATTACTACAAGTCATTGTAAGTAAAATGACAAATAACAATCGTTTTTACATTCATTTAAATTACCTCCATAAAAATACTTTGAAGTTAAATTTTTATTAATACACTTAATAAAAATTTAATTGCGTAAAGTTTATCGAAAAAATAATATTTTTTATTATTAATATACTATACTTAAAATTGGTAATAAATATGCTATGGCAATCCTTTAGGAGGAAGTGTACTATTTCACAGTTGCCTATCATGAATTTCGTTTAGAAAGGTGTAAAATAAACGAAAATACTAAATTTTCTTTAATTTTAAAATAATATGTACATTTATGCACATGATTGTGCGTTATGTTCATTCATAGTTTAAATAATGAAATTATGATAATTTGCAAAATAATTCATATTCCATGATGGGTTGTTAAAATTTATTTATTTAAAATTTTGGTTTTATCTACATTTTTACTTAAATAATAATTATAATATAATAATTATTATTCTTTTTTTTTAACATCATGAACAATATCCAAAAATAGTTGCAAATTTTTGATTATTCATTTGTAGCAACACCGATGACTTTTTTTCAGTTTTCTTTTATGGAGGTTAGAAATAAGGAGAACCATCTTATAAAGTCCGGTCAAAATAGACATTTGAAATAACAAAAAACTTCGACAGAGCTCAATTTTGGTAGAACCTTGGATACACCAGTAGAAATAAAGTGGCTTAAGTCTCCATCGATCGCATGTGTACTAAAAAAGTTACTCAAGGTCAAAGGTCAACATTTTCGTTTTTTTTTCTAGAAAACAGTAAGTTTTCTCAAAAATATAGTCCAGACTAAAATTTTAGATCAAAAAATTGTCTACAAAAATGGTTGTGATACTTTTTTCCTAACAATCACCATACTTAAGATATCGCGACTCTAAAAGTTGAAGGTGTTACATTCTCAGAATGGCGCTAGCGTAAGTAAGGAATATAATATGCATTTAGCAACTTTGTGGACGGAGTGAAGTGTGCTGAGCTGAAAAATGAAATATTTTTGAGAGACTAGAGTAATTAATGAAACTGCTTAACGTCATCTATTTACATAGTCCAAAATAAATTAATAAATATAACCTAATGAACTGCTCTGATTTAATCTAATCCTACTTTAATTACTTCGGCACTTTTTAAAATTTACTCACTTGCTACAGTAGAGCCACCCTAATTTAACGCTTTTCGAAGGACAGTTTTTCATCAGAGAGATGGTTCTCCTACATCTACTCTCATTTAGTCTACTAATCTTCGTAGTCTGTGGTCATCGGTGATTTTACGTCATGTGCAAAACTAGCGGATATTTATGAATTATTTTTTTAATTACAAAAAAACTACATTAGCCCAAATGAATAAATAAATATAAGTTAAATAATAATTTTGTTATATGTGCAAGAATACAATTTACGTTTATAAAATTGGTGTATCGGATTTGAATGCCTAATGTTCGTATACTGAAACTATCTATATATTATATATATGCATATAAATACATTTGGTAATGAGCACTTCAGAACTATAAATAAATTGACTTTTTTCACATTCAATTTACGCCACTTCCCAGACGATAACAATTTTCTTGTTAATTATGAAAAGCTAGTTCTGACCATTGTTTATAGCGTATGTTATTGTATGTAGTTCATAACGTCCAAAAACTCTTTTAGTTGTTGTTTGTTTTCAGGAATCAATTTTATTAATAGCTTTGGGAGTTTGGAGCTCATTCAATAAAGCTTAAAAACAAATGTTAAACTAACAAACTTTTAATGTTACTTTCTCAATTTCATTAATGTTTCCCACATAAATAAATTCAAATATATCATAATATACAATCGATTAAAAGTTTATTCGAAATAATGATCAGTAAAAAAGTTACATTTAGTTAGTTTACTATTTATATTAGTTTTAATTTCATAATATATATTTTCTATCTGTTGCAGAATTATGTCACATAAACCTACCCCGTATAGTCCAAACTTTCCAGCAAATCAAGGCTATGCTTCCCCAGTAGAAGTGAACAAGTCTCATGATAACAGCTATCCAATGCATAATTACTCTGGCCCATCACCTGGGCCAATGCTACCTCCGGGAGCTCAGCCACTACCCGGAATGCAAACAGGATATCAACCTGGTTTTCAACCAGGATTTCAGCCTGGATTTCAACCAGGCTATCAACCAGGATATGCTACTGGATACCCTCATCCTCAGCCTGGATATCCACCACCAGTGGTACAACAACCTGCGCCACAAGCACCAGGTATATTATATTGGGATCATATTAAAAATATGCCTTCAGTAAATTTTTAAATTTTACTGTTAAAAATATTGACTGATAAGTTAAAGAACTATCAAGCTGCTAATTGAATATATCCTATGTAATATCTTCATTCAGCATAATGTTGGTAAAATAATTGGTGCTCAACTAGTGCACATAGTTAAGCCTATATTAAATAGATTATTGAATCGTATAATAATATATTATAATTATTTACTGTTATTTTTCTATTAAAACAAATTTGAGAAATTGCAAATGTATCTTTGGAAGATCTCCAGAATAAACTAAAGCCTAAGTCTGATAACTTAATAATTAGTTTACTTAACTTTATACAGCTTTCTACATTACTCCATAGATTTTTTATAATTATGGCTTAAAATTTAATTACACAGAGGCCAGAACCTATGTTACTTATTTAAAATGTCATAAAAACATAAAATTCAAACACAAAAAAAATAGGTAACTTATTAAAAGCTTTTTGACAAACAAAGATTGTATCTTACAATTTCTTTTGTTTGTAATTTTCAACATATGCATTCAGTTTCATGACATATTACTTCTATACAAATTAAGAAAATACTTTATTTTTTATTATTTTTTTTTATTAAAAAATATTTAATGTTGTTATAATATTACAGGCTATAATTAATAATTTATTTAATTTATATTTCTATTCATTACAATTTTAATTGAATTGCAATTTTCTTGCCGTAATAAATATTATCATGAAGTACTCCCAGTTAATTAACATTTATAAAGATAAAGATGTTTACTTTTACGTTTACTTAAAAGTCAAAGTGCTGATACGGTTTAATGTACTTGCATTACTGTGGTGGTGGCAGTGGAACAGACTCTAACTGTGATCAATAATTGCACACATTTTAATTTTCAACTATATCATCTTATTTATTTTCTGTGTATATCTCTCAAATAATGAAAGTGTTAAATGATAATTTAAATAATAACTTTGAAATTTTGTCCGAGGATATTCCTTCAAACAAATTAAAATTCACTACTGAAAAATGTTCCAAATTAAGGAAATATTTTTCAAGAAAGTGCACAAAAATTGTGAATATTAATAATAAAAGTGTTTACATTGAAACTCTATCAGTAGCAAGTGCAAAAAGAACTATTAAACAATTCTACAAAAAGTTATTTAAAAATCGCTCGAATGGTTACGAACAATTGTTAACAGACGAAGAAAGGAGGTTAACAAATGTTGTTGATTACATAAATGTGGTGGAGGGCATCTAAATTATTTGTTTTGTGTTGGTAATATTTACTCATCACTTATCTAGCTTGTTCATGTTACAATTGTTGATAGATTTAATTATTTGTACAAAATATCTTATCATTTTCAGCATGCTTCATAGAATTTTGTGAAAGTATATTTTTCTGATATGAAAAAATATTACCTATGTTAATAACTTCTGTTGCGTGCGTTTTCGTAGCGTGGGCGTTATGATTAGTAAGCAAAAAATATTGTTTTACATTATCTAATAAATTTTCACTCATATGTAGGATATCCTTTTGTACTGCTTAGTGCTTTGCGTCTTTTATATATAGTTTACTATAACAAGTACCATTTTATTTGTATGTTTTTGTCCAATGGCTTTGATAAAGATATTAATTGAATTTATCAAATGGACTACTAACATTGTATATATGCTAGTCGATTCTTTGATAGTTTTGATCGAAAAAATTAAAAAAAAAAACAACAATCGCTGTTCTGCTATCTCAAATTCAATATATTATGAAAAATATTTAAAAAAAATCGTTCAATCTTATACCATAATCTATTTATAGATATTTTACTATCTACAAGAGGTGAAATATCAAAGAAATTAAGATATTATAATACTAGCATTGCCCGCGGCTCCGCCCGCGTTCAGACGACTAAAACCAAATTCTTGTTTGTATTTTTTCTCAGAAATGAGATATTTTCCCGCGGTAAAAAGTATCCTATATGTTGACCCGGATGACCAGCTATCATCATACCAAATTTCATCAAAATCTGTCCAGTGGTTTTCTCGTGATGCGGTAACAGACAGACAGACAGACAAAAATTCTAAAAACTAGATTCGGACTCTGTATCGATAATAATGTCTATTTCAATTAGATTTTCCAAAAAATATTTAATGTACAGATTCGACTTAGTTACAATTTTATTATATATGTATAGATGTGATACCATCCTGATGTTTGTGCACACTCTTGCATGCAGTGAGTAATGACACGTGGCATTTTTGCGCCTAATGTTAAAGAAATGCACAAACTTTGTAATGGCAATATTTTACTGTACAGCAAACAATTTATTTTACGTAACTTAATGATTTTTTTTTGTACACTTATGCCTTTTCTGCCTACTTTATCCAATGCTTAAATGTAGGTAGATTGCAATCTAACTACAGTGCAGTTTAATTTATAATATACCTAATACTCGATCTCATTGATTTATGCATATCTGTTCACAGTATCGTTAAAATAACTTTATAGGCGAGTTCGTATTTTTATTTTGTAACTCGATCCTTGCTTTACTTGAGTGATCTGCAGCTCTTGGTGCCTTTTGTATATTTTACAATATTATACGTAGTACATCTAGTGCCAAGTTTGTCAATTTTTATTACTAACGTATAGTATACCTATGTGTTAATCCAGAATATCGTATACAAATAAATTATGTAGTTACACAGTTACAGCGTGATGGAGAAACAAGCACACACACACTCACTAAAGGTAGCGTGATTAACAATTCTTTGCTCACCGAGATAGATCTGATGTGACCATATTTATCTCAGGTAGACTGATGTAGTGTCCTTGAGAATAATGGTTTTGATTACGGTTTTCATCATTGTGGGTGTTCGGTCGGAATAAATAGAGAGTATGAAGATAGAATCCCCTATCAGCAGAAAACTTGGGAAAATTTTATCCGCGTACTACTTTATGCTTTAAATGATGTCTATAACCAGTGACAAAATGGGACAGAAAAGATAAATACTATGATAAATATATGATGTACTTAATCTATAAAAAAAAACATTTACTTCCGTTTACCACATACATAAATACTTATCCAATATTTTAGGTGGCTGGATGACTATTCCGCAAGGGCCTGCAAACTGCCCTCCTGGCTTGGAATACCTATCCATGATTGATCAACTCTTGGTCCACCAGAAAGTTGAGTTATTGGAAGCCTTCGTTGGATTCGAAACCAACAATAAATACACAGTAAAAAATTCAATTGGTCAAAAAGTATACTGTGCTATTGAAGACAACGACTGCTGCACGCGCAACTGCTGTGGTCCTATGCGTCCGTTCGACATGAAGATCATGGACAACTTTAGAAATGAGGTACCCCGCACGAACATACAATTTTCTTTATAAAATAATACGAAATACCTAGTATTATTTACACAGTTTTAATTTGATTACGTTCAACTACACACAAAGTATACATATGTACATATATTGCACTTAAGTATATGTAGGTACATTTATTGGGCTGTCTGTCTGTCCCTATGTATGCTTAGATCTTTAAAACTACGCAACAGATTCGGATGCGGTTTTTTTTAATAGAGAGGATATCTATAGGAATCTTTTTTTTAGAGAGAGATTCAAGAGGAAGGTTTATTATAAATTTAGAGTTTTGTGGTGGTGGTGGTGGATGGTGATGTTGTAAATAACACATTTTTTGCGTTTACATTGCTTACGCTGACTGAACCCTACGAGACAGAACTAAATAATGTACTACAGTATAATTGTACTTCTTAAAAAGGTCTACAAAAAGTCCGCGATGTCATATATCTATCTCTTAAGGATAACATACTATATCCATTCCACCCTCGTTTCGCTCGGTTTCGTCCGTTCGGTTCGGTTCGGTATTATAATAAATTAAAATATTCTTTTAAAAATCACAAGACTTCCAATTACGGATACACTGGCTGCCGACGTAGAATCAATACAGAGTTGCGTATTATTAATGTTATAAATGCAAAACTTTGGATGGATGGATGTTTGTTTGTTACTCAATCATGCCAGAACGGCTGAACGGATCTGGATGAAATTTGGCACAGAGATAGATTTTAGTCTGAAATAGCACAAAGGTTACTATTTATCCCGGAAAAATGTACGGTTACTGTGGGATAGATATGTTTTTTGCTTAGGGACGAATCCAACCAACAACGCGTGTTACTTCGGTGTATTTCATACAAATCCGTTCAGTCCATTCAGCACATACACACATACATACAAACTTCCGCATTTACAATATTAATCCTATTTTATAATGTTTTGTAGGTGATCCACTTGCATCGACCGCTAGCGTGCGACTCGTGCTGGTGCCCTTGCTGGCTGCAGAGCATGGAGGTGTCGTCTCCCCCCGGCACCGTGATCGGCTCCATCGAGCAGGAGTGGTCCATATGCAAGCCCTCGTACGTCATCAAGAACGCAGCCGGCGACGTCGTGCTGAGGATCAAAGGCCCTTTGTGCACCTTCTCCATCTGCGGTGATGTGGAGTTTCATGTAAGTTTCTTCTTTATTTATTCCAAAGTAATAATGTCCATCTTAAACGATTTCGGTTTCACGGCCAATCTCTCTGAAACTAGCCAACCGTGCGGTTCATAAATTGCAGTATCGGGGCGATAGAGCTTCGCACGACGTTTTTCAGAAAAGATAGAAAAATTGCGTTTTTTTTTTCAGAAAAAATACTTTATTTAAATACAAAATTTGATCCAAACCATTAGAGCCGTTTTCCGAGATCATATTTCGATGGAACAACAGAAGTTTAGTTTTTTCATTTAGACGTAAAATATTATTATATTTTACGTCATTGGTGTACACATTTTTTAAATAAGACAATATCATCGGCATTCGGCAGCGTAATCTGGCTTTAGTCTTTCAGCGCATTCTAAATCGTATTGAGGTCAAACAAAGAATCGTAAATTAGGGCGGTCCATTTTCTCTTTACAGAATGAGAATATCTATACTCTTGACTGTACTAATATAGTATTGTGTAATTTGTGTGTATATCAACTACGCATCATTTTTATAAGTACATATATTTATTTTAATCAATTCATTTTTACGTTTTGTTAAAATAAATAAACGTTTTGATTTGATAAAAAAAACCTTGAAGGTTGTTAGGTAATTGCGAGTATAAATATTACACAAATGATCTTATTATAATAAGGCATATTTACAATGTAATCAAACTAAAGCTTACGGAACGTTCTAGAGTCATTGACGTTACACGACTGTGCAAATAATAAGTTAACAAGTAGTGAATTTATCTAATAACGCTATACAATGTTAGTTCATAATGATGAGAGCTAAATAAATAGCTCGTTCTAAATTGCTCGAGCATTTGGCTCCCTGGTAATAAGACAATGAATCTTTATTGAGGCCTTGAAACGCATATTGCATATTATAGTTTATGATAAAGTTGTTTTGAATCGATGTCAAATATATGTATATTTATGTCACAATATCTTCCCTAAACTTGGAAAACATTTGATGTACATAGATGAAAAGTATCCGGCCGATGACTCTAAACTATCTCTGTGCTAAAAATCATTTACTATGTAGATACCTATAAGAAAAAGGACAATAATTACATACTCATATTTATGTTATTAATAGCGACTCAACCTCGATCCGCTCGGGGTCGCCCGTAGTGAGAATTTTGATGTATGATTTTTTTTAATGCCGAATCCAAAAAAAAAATAGTAAAAAACAATGTTTTTTTTTTGCTTGGACCACCCTCATCACTTAGGAGTATGAAAAATAATTTACGTCCTATTCTCAGACCTACTGAACATACACACAAAATTTCATAGGAATCGGTCAAGCCGTTTCGGAGGAGTTTTGTCACAAACACTGTGACACGAGATTTTTATATATTAGAGATTAAAGTTAAAAATTCATTTTATTCCATATCCTCATAGAAATTTAAAATTTAATATATTACAAATATTGTAATACTAGCGACTCACCCTACTATATAGTTACGTTTTAACAGTTAGTATAGAATATATAGACTATATACGAGTATATGTCCCTACTCGTATATGTACATACATAGGTATAGAAAAGTAGGTAAGTATTTTAAAATTAAAAAAAAAATCCATACTCCTTACTTGAGAAATGATTGATTTCCGATTCAGAATATAAAACGCCGTCCCTCCCCCGCCCCCTCCCTTATCACCCTCTTATGGGATGATTTCCGGAATAAATACTATCCTAGGGTTCTTCCCAAATCCCAGAATTTGAAACTATCTCCATACCAAATTTCATCTATATCGGTTCAATAATAATAGACAGATAGGTACTTTCGCATTTATAATATTAGTATGGAATTATGGATGTATCATATTCTAACTTTATTTAAACTGTAACAAATGTATTCGGTACAGTTTGCTCAATTTTTCTATATTGTGTATAGTTTGTGGCCTCTCTCAAACGTCTCAAAAATGTGGCGAAGGCAATACAAATACTTCGTTTGTTATTTGTAGGAATGTTATCAATACGAATTACGAAGTTAAAAATAGTTCAAGTATAAAACGAGATTTCGCAGTCGGCATCTATGATGAATGAATCATTATCTTTAGTTTTAGTTATCTTTTAACTTAAAAGTAAAAACCTATACTGAATTCAATTACTTCAAAAGTAAAAACTTGATCCTTTGGTCCTTTTTTGTATCGGTACAACCCTCAGATACAACCTGTTTATTAAAAAAAATATTGACACACAGCGGGCAAAGATATCAATGAAATCAAATATTCTTTATTGCACACCAAAAAAATTACATGACATATATGTATATCTATATATTAAAGAAGAAATAGCGCAACAGGCGGCCTTATTGCTAAGTGAACGATCTCTTCTAAGAAACCTTTATATATCAACGAGCATTGCCCGCGTTGAGATGACCAAAAAATAAATTTTTAAGTTTTACATATTAGTATACTCTTACAATTCAGTTTTTGTATCTTTTCTCAGAAATGAGATATTTTCCCGCGGTAAAAGTATCCTATATGTTGACCCGGATGATCAGCTATCATCATACCAAATTTCATCGAAATCTGTCCAGTGATTTTCTCGTGATGCGGTACAGACAGACAGACAAAAATTCAAAAAATTATAGATTCGAACTCTGTATCGATAATAATGTCTATTTCAATAAGATTTTGAAAAAATATTTTTAATGTACAGTTTCGACTTCGTTACAATTTTATTATATGTATAGATTATCAACCTTTATATTATTTAGATATCACATAACATAATCAAGCTAAACAAATAAATTCTTTTTTTGTCTTTGGGCAATCAAAAATTATATCAACAGTTAAATTATAAAATTACAGGTATACTCTAAAGATGGTGAGACGAAAGTGGGCAAAATAACGAAACAATGGTCTGGACTAGCGCGCGAGGCTTTCACCGACTCGGACTACTTCGGGATCACGTTCCCGATGGACTTGGATGTGAGGATCAAGGCAGTCCTGCTTGGTGCATGTTTCCTTATTGTAAGTACACACAAACTAATACAAAATTTGAGTTACACAATATAATATATATATATATATATATATATATATATATATATATATATATATATATATATATTATTTGCACTATTTATAAATAATTAAAAATGTATTACATATTTTTGATTTAAAAGCATAATGATTACTTGTGATAAATATAAAATATTTGAGTTATACAGAGTAAATGTAAAAAATATATATATTATTTGCACTATTTATAATTAATAAAAAATGTATTGCTTGTTTGTTTTTTGTTTTTAGAAACGAAATGATTAGTTGTAATTATTATCTATTAATAAATTAGAGATTTTCAGTAACTATTAAAGTACTATTTGTTTAAAAAAATTAAGACATGTGAAGTCCGCCAACCCGCCCTTGGCCAGCGTGGTGGACTATGGCCTGATCCCCCTCGTATTAAAGGGAGGCCCGTGCCCAGCTGTGGGACGTTAAAAAGGGCTGAATACATCGTCACGACCGGTTTCGGCCACAGCGGCCAATCTCACTGAGACTAGCCAACTGCATATTATAGTGCACAAGTGTACGCGCAGACACAACGTGCACTCTTCCAGTTAATATGAAATTCCGATGGGACGATAATTCCACACGACCGGTAAGAGATCAGGCGCAAGATCGACGACTTTACGTGCTCTCCGATGCACGGGGATGAAACACCGCCAACCTCCCAATTCCGGTGGGATTTCTTAACAGAAAGATTCAATAACTAAACTTAGCACGACCCGATAATCGAACTAGGACCTCCGGATGTGCAGCCGTACTTGCTAGCCATTATACCTCTGAAGGAGTTTTAAAGTACACTTCGCAGAACCATTTTTAACACAAAATATTGAACCATTAATTAATGAATTGAGTTGATAAAAAAATTATTATAATAGGTATACTATTTACGATACTTAGTATATTATTCACTAATTTGACTTAAAAGCAGTACATTCAAAATGTTCATGCCATAAAATATGGTGTCGTACGGTGTAGGTTTTAATTTCTAAGTCTTAATTTTAAATGGGTTCATTTACTATATTAGATATTTACTACAGTAAAAATTTCCGATCCAATTTTTTTATTTTATATGTTAGGATCACTCACTGAGTATAAAATCACAAAATGCTGACAGATTCCGGTCGAGCTTCTGGCGCCATCTTGAAAAACTTTTTTGGCCGATATCTCGGAAACTATGCATTTTAGGGCAAAAGTTATTGAAACTGTTTTTGTAGAGAATAAAATTTCGCATCTTTTATTTCCTGATTTTTTCTTGTAAAACTTACCGTTTACGATTTATGGCCCATTTAACGAACCGTATTTAGAATTAAAATACGAAAACACTAAATTATTGTTAAAATATATAAAAATACTAAAAATTTTTTTTATGTTTCAGGACTTCATGTTTTTCGAAAAATCTGGAAACCAAGAATCGGATAGACCTGGAATGCTATAAGTAAAATATACACAAAGAGTTAAATATTCTAATACTCGTATAATCCTAAATGTATTCGGATGACGGTTGTATATGAATCTCATACGAATTATTTGTTACGTCTATATTACAAAATTATACCTATTCTTATGATATTTACGCAATTATGGTTGTATTGAGAAGCACAACGTTTGATTTTTCTTTTAAAATGTATAGAGCTTTAAGTGTACTAATTGTCTCATTATGATTTGCATTTTTTAGATGTAAGTTTTTTTTTTACTAATTATTAGTAATTATTAGGTATTATTATTAGGTACCATATGACAATATCTATCTGAATTGTCACTATTAAATAACACAAAAAGGTTAATGTAATAAGTATTAAGTATGAATATAATACCAATATGAATAACACTTGACTCAATATTCTTTATTATCGCTCGCGTGTTATGAATGTTCTACCCGCAATTCAAGTCATGTTTATACCTAAGCCTAGTGGGTACTTACAGACATTTTTTAAATTGTTATTTGATCTGGAGTTAATGGCACATTTATTTGTTTGTTTGCTATTTTATCTCAGTACGATATACAAATGTAATACATAGTCTTATAGATACAAGTTGAATCTTCTCATATTAAAGTTCAATTTTACTTAATATACGAGTATTTTTGGCATTTAAAAGGAAAGTGATAGAGGCAATTTATAATTTCAGAATTTTGTTAGAATTTTATTGATTTTTATTATTATTAACTATGTTATCATAATAGTCATGAGCTAAAAACTAAAATATATTTTATGAAATTTAACCGTGTTATACTTTAGTCTCATATATGTTTTTTATTATTCTCATTTATATTGTTTTAGTTTAGTTTGTTTTATTTAATTATCTTTATGCCATTTCATTATTTATGACATAATGATGAGGTTAAGGATAAACCTACAGGTATTTTGAACACAACTATTAGTTATAAAAAAGTGCTATATTAAAAATTGAAGTGATGTAATGAACTGAATATTTATTTTTTATTGAAACAAGTAGTTTTGTAAATTAAATTAATTCATACAGACTTATTTTCAAATATTCATGATTTTCGTGATAATTTATATAAAAGACGGTACTAAATTATAAAATCCACACAGATTTATTCTTAAAATTATATTGATACAATAAAATACCTTATTGCCTTAATATTATTACATTTTATTTGTTAATGTGTAAAATACAAATAAAAAAGTTGGTATATTTCAGTTACGGACATATTTTAGTTTTTCTGATTCAAAACAATGTTAATCATTTTTTATTCACTTTACACATGCCATTATTTTATTACTTTTACCTACACCTAAATACCTACAAAGTATATTTAAAGGTAAATTCAAGTGAAGTACAGAACAATGTTGCCAATCAAAACACTTCTAAATTAAAATGTATGGCCTTGAAAGACAGACTTGTTCTTCTCGAAACAAGAGCCTAAATAAACTTTTTCTTAAGAGAAAAAAAAAACATTTTCGCATCTTTTACGGACTTTTAGTCTCCTTAAATTCATGGCTATAGGCTAAAAAGTTTGCCAAATCTTTACTATTTTCACTTATTAAGCTTTTTATTTAATTAGATATACATATAATATAGAATATAAAGACGTGCCTATTTTTTTCAACTCTTCTATAGTAAACTATATATTATAAGTACCTCTAATTTTTGGATTGCATTTTACTTCTACGGTCTACCCAATCTGTACTGTATTTGTGACTATATTTTCTAATGTTGTTGTAAAGTTTTCTGGTTTATAAATTGTTTTTTTTTTGTATACATATAATATGTATTTATTCTAATGCAGAGTTTTATCTTATTTGCTTGTTTGAAACGAATTTTATATTATGGACCTACATGGTGATTTGTACTAACTTTATATTTTAGAACACACAATGCCACGAGTTATTTGTCAGTGTACATGTATTTTTATAGACCATAAAACTAACTATATTTTATTTATGTTAATGTTACCTTACCTACTTCAAATTATATGCAAAATATTCCTGTAAGATAAACCTCAGTGATTGATATATTCAAATATTTATGATGTTTTTATTTTAATAAAGCTTTCTAATATTGTGAAATTATTTATTTTTTATTTATAGTTAGTAGTTCCTTGCAATACCATAGAATTTATTGCTTTTAACTTTATATTTCAAAGAATTGTATCAAAACTTCAAGCTCATTTTGCTGGGAAATAGTTTAACATAACTGCAAGACAGTATATTTGCTATAATTGCTCTAAACTCTCAATGGATTTTTATCTCATCATGAAAATAATTCAGCACACCATTTACTTTGGAAATGTGTAGGAATCCAAGAAATTAAATGTTGCCAAAAAAACTTTAAATATGTAAATAAAACTACAAGTAAGGCTATAATTGTATTAAGAAATCAATATTACATTAGTTTAGGAAAAGCTGATTTTTTCGTACAAACAGACAAATCTGCTTGTTTTAGTGGTAAACCAATAAAACTATCCTCCTCCTTGGTAGTAACATGTTTTTTATTAAAATTAACTTCTCTATGATCATGTTTTATTACAGTCGGTTTTGGGAATGAAGTACTCAGTTTTTTTGCCCACTGGCTGGAAGGCAATTTTTCTGCATCTGGTAGTGAAATCTGCAAAATCACATTTAACTGTAAACATATGCACATAATCTACAAACAGTGAAATTTAAATTTAGAATACGAAATGTATAAATTGTTATATATTTTATCTCCCCATAAACACCACATATACATACTATTTTCGTCTTCTTGGCACTCTTGTAGGCAACTGAAGGTAAGGATACATTTTCTTTATTGCTTACTTTAGGTTCTGTTGATTTTTTTAACAATTTAGGAATGGAGGAGGTAGTAGTCAAAGGTTTCTTTAGATGGATATCTTTAATCAATGGAATTTGAGGACAATTCTTAATGTAGAATGCAACTGGGCTTGCAATATGTTGATATGCATTTATTCTACTAGGTGTTTTCTTTGTTGAACTTGTTAACTGTTTTTTTGTAGATAATGTATTTTTAGGTGTTTTAAAAACATGTTCGTTTTGTTTTGTGATAGGAGTTAATACCGAGTGTGTTTTTTTATTTCCAATATGATTATTCGCGAATTTACACTTGATTGGAGTTTCATTCAATTTATTTAATTTAGCATCATCAACCTTTATATCAGGATTTTTTGTTTTTTCTTTCTCATCAGTTGATTTATTTATGACACCAGTAGGAATATCCGGAGTTACTTTAAATGAAATATTATTATTTTCATTGTATTGCTCATTAATTGTGCCATTATGTTTTAAAGGTGCATTATTTAAAATAAACTCAACCTCTAACGTATTGTCTAACTCATCACTCGATTTTGGTGACATGCACATATCAGAAACCATTTTTTCTAGTCTTAAAAAACTATCGTCTGTAGATTCTACATCGCAATCCGTACTTAACGCTGAATTTGAAGATTCAATAGAATATTTAGCTATTGATATATTAGGCTCCGAATTAGTCTCAATAATTTGTAAGCTTTCTTCTTTGTTTTCTTGTTTGCTATTATTTGTACATCTGAAATAGTTTAATTACAAGACTAACTCAATTGCCAAATATAAATAATATTATTTACGATAAAAAATACTCACGGTAAACTCGGACGATGTGAATTAAAGAATATATGTTTTTTCACTTCTTTTAAAGACATTTCGCCAAAAAACACTTCATCATCACTGATATCCTCTAAAGCACATAAATCCATCTTAGAATAGAAATTATTATTTATTATTATCTTGTAAAACTAGATATTTTTGAAACTTCTGTTAAACATAACGGCCGTCGCTCGTCAAAATCGTTTGTCATTTCTCATTTGATAATTTATTTTGAATTTACAATAGAATTCAATATTCACAGATTATCAACAGACAATATCAAACTTCATGACGTCAAGTCAGCTATCAGGAAAGACTCGCAGCTGCACTTGGTAAATTGTATAATAGCCAGTACACACTAGGCCTCGCATCCATCAATTATCATTAATTCATCTTAGATTTGATCTACTCCGATCTCTCTTCCTAACGCTCGCAATCCCTCTTATTTTATAACACAATTCTACATAAAATGCGCTTGTATATTATATAAATAATACAATAAACAAAATTAAGCCAATTATACAAAAATATAAAAATCCAATCAGACTTCAGACAAAATCTCATCGTCTGTAAACAGAGCTATGCCTTTAGCTAAAGCTAAGCCTTTTTAATAACGTGAAATAATTGGAGGCAAAACAACTTGTTTATTCATCTTTGGTCAATGAAAGGAGAATTATTTTGTTTTTTAGAAATGTAAAAATTCACTTCTACGAAACAAAGATTTTATATTTTTCTCATTACAAATTATCTATTTTCTTAGAATAGGTACCGTAAAACGGGGTGTCTAGTGATACAGGAGTGAATAGGGATAAAACAGGCTAGTAAATTTTTTTTTTTTAATACGAACGTATTTTTTTTTACTATACGTTCGAATAAATATTAAGATTCTAAATTGGGAGTAAGACAGTGCTAGCCATGGATGACTAAAGAATAGGTTACAGGGTGCCAGCTGGCGAGAGGAGTTACTACAGTGCAGCAACTTGCACCGTGTGACCGATCATGTGAGTTTATGTGCGAGTCGGTCAGTAGATCGCATCAGAGTACAGCATTTTTTGTTTTTACTCGCCACACGACTGCCCCCACCACCCCACTCGCATACGACGCAGTAGTCAAATAGCACATTTTTACTTTTTAATGAAATGATAGTAGCTCGTACGCTCAGGCGCACTCCGGCACTTTTAGCTCTAAGTATTTTTGTAACGCCTTCACTTTGAACGTGATCAGTCGTCTATTTTACGACAACATTGCACAGGACATGATACGTTCCACGATCGAGCGAGACCCACGAGACATGCGAGTATAGAGGTGCAGTATAGCTATCAACTATCACGCCAGCAGGCGTCGACTCGCACTTGTGAAACAGGCCTTAATGCCTTGTGAAAAATCAAAATGTAATCAAATCTACTCAACTCCGACGTGTAAATAAAAAAAATAATAAGAAAAACAAATTTAAGCATTATTTTATTTTTTTCAGTAATTCAGTAGCCTCCTTATTTGCACGATGATCATCATCACACTTTGCTGGATAACTGGCAGCGAGTTTGAGATAATATTTAGCTTGGTCCTGTTTATTGAGCTTTAAATAACAACAACCAATCCGAAGAAGATTTATACTGTAAAACCTAGGCTGCACAGACTCTGCTCTTAAAAAATATTCAAGGGCTTCTTCATAAGTAGAATGTGGTAGAGTTGCATAAACAGCCTCAGCTGTTTTACGTTGATGCCACGGTAGTTCTCTTATTTGGTAACACCATTCCCCTAATACATGTAACAAACTAGCATCATTTGGGTTTAGGGAAATGGCTAAATCCATGTGTATCTTTACATTTACTAATTGCTCTATTTTCTCTTTGGTACCTTCATTTGAACTTTTAGCATCTAGTACTAACGCATACCATTTTTGAACCGCAAAATTATCCCAATGTTTATCTAGTTCTTCATTTATAATTTTGAAAGCTTGCAAAATTAATGCCTTTCTATATGTAGCATCATATCTTTGATCTTTGGCCATATTGTACAAAACCCGACAAATACGCCATTTTAATTCTATATCGTCTTGATCCTAAAGAAAAATAAATATAACTTTTATTACAGCATATGGAACGCAACACGAGGCGCTTGAGTGTCGCCTACCTTTCCATATACAAAGGTGATGAGAAGTCAAAGTATAATATAAAAAATATTTTGAACAAGAGAGATGTTGAGGGGTGAAATTATAACACTCTGCGCATAATAAAATTGTATATACATACGTCCCTATATACAATTTGTTCATAATTTATGGGTTTTAATTTTTTTTCTAAAATAAAAGCACCCAATTCTCTTTCTAAAATAGAAGTAGCTTAATTTACTCCTTATAACATCAGCTATTTGCCAATGAAGGTCTCGTCAAAATCCGTCCAGTTGTTTCGGAGATTAGCCGGAACAAACATAGACACATGATTTTTTTTTTATTAGTACCGTATAGAAGGTGTCCGGTAAGTAATGGATGACCCTGCAGGTACTAGTAGAGGACACCTCGGCTACTTAGAAAAAATATAATAAAATCTGCAGTAGTCTGGAAAAAAATACTTTTTAACTTTTTTTAAAAAGTGTGAAATTCGATACCTCCGTTCACATTATTAAGTACTACGCCTACAAATTTATTTATAAATGGACTTTCTCTGGAAATAACCGTGAATGTTTTGGTTTTGCCATCGCGCATTACAAAATATTTCTAGCCGTAACTGTTTTTTTTAAATACTTAAAAATAAAAATTTGAATTTTCGATTCTAAGCTGACGAATTTGAGCACCTGTTGTATAAATAAAACGTATGGTGACCAATAGCTTAAAAAACATGCCTACTTCATACAGATTCTGAAACGGTAATAAAGTATAAACTCATTTTTTTGTTGTCAAATTACTGAGTTAGAAAAAAAAGTACCTATGCACATCTCGCGGCAAGGATCAAACGTGTATGTCTCCGACTGCTTAGTACTATATTCCTTCGTGAACTTGTTTTTATCTTTTTAGTTAGCTTTTATGCAGTCGAGTTTTATATTTTTATAATATATTTATTATAATAAATGTTCAAATTGTTTGCCCCCTACTCTAATACAGGCTCTACATCTTCTTATGAACGACCTTTTTAATAGCCGAGATTACCTGTGCTCACCAATATCTCGAGCCGTGTTCAAAACACGTTGACACAGTTCTTATATTGTTGCGGTTTATTGTAGACTTTTTCTTTTAAGCAGGCCCGTTAAAAAAAATAGTAGGTTTAAGGATGGCGATCGCGGTGACCACAAAATAGGTCCCAAACGACCGAGCTACCTTTTAGGATAGAGCTCCTTCAGGTACCCCCGGGTAGCATAATGTGCTTGGCATCCATCGTTTTACAGCCAAATACTGCGATGGACCGCCAAAGGCACCTCTTCTAAGAGATCACGTAAATCATTTTGTAAATAAATTCAAATACACCGGTCCAACAGATTTCTGGACAATTCGAATGGGCCTATTATTTGGCCATTTAATAATATTCCAGTCCAAATAATTTTGAACTGATTTTGAGATCTGTCCTCAGGCATTAGTTGGGGATTTGTTAGTTGCTAGCTATGGACTTTTGCTATCGCCCTATTGAAATGGAAGTATCTTCCCCAATGGCATTGAGCGCAATATCTGCATTGTCACTTGACTGTATATAATAACCGTATATAATTTCATATGCTTTCTGTAAAAAGCCGTTTTAACATTACAAATGGACACTTCAATTTTATTTATCTATATAGATTGTTTTTGCCTTCACAAACTATATAGTTTTACTATTAACGTGCTCTACATTTAATACACAACAACAAACTTATAACAGATCCCACCTATTAATGGTAATGACTAATGAGGTCAAAAGGCTTAACTGGGGGGCCAAGCAGTGCCGGATTCAACTTTACCGCCTAACCTTTTTGTGTCTTTTTTATTTTGAGTCCAGAAATCAACCACTAACTTCCTACAGCTGCAAACTTACTTAGGTAATTTAAATCCAAAATTGGTGGTGGATCAGACTCAAACATGTTTCTGGAATGAAGTGTCTCATCGCACGTTATAGGTATTCGGCACACTTGGCGAATTAGAAATAGACGGAAGAAGTAAAATATTTCGACTGTCACGACACTTTTTATAAATTTTCTAAGAGCACCCCATCGCAATGTGACGTCATCATAAGTACCAGGCGATCATATGTGTTATGGAATGTAATGTATGTTGTAAGAAATTTGTGTACTCTGTGCAGTACTTCCTTCGATAGTACTCGTGATAATTTTTATGATCATTATGAGCCAAGGGCAAACAGACAAACTTTCTAATATAAATTTTAGTTATTTTTTTTTAAATGTTGTTTAAATTATCTATACATATAAATTATAATTCTGAGTCGAATCTGTACATAAAATATTTTTTGGAAAATCTCATTGAAATAGTCATTATTATTGATATAGAGGCAGAATCTAAGGTTTCTAGATTTTTTGTCTGCCTGCCTGCCTGGGAACGCATTACGAGAAAACCACTGGCTAGATTTTGATGGGTTGATGATAGTTTTTTTTTCGGGTCAACATATAAGATACTTTTTACTTTGGTTAAATATCTTATTTTAGAGAAATTGACAAATCCGAGCGGAGCGAGGATGAGTTGCTAGTTCAACAATATACCTTTTTTTAGGTAAGAATAATTATATTTGTTAGCTAATTTATCAGGCTAATTGAAAGATAAGTACTTAGGTAATTCAAAGTATAAAAAAGATTTTAAGAAACTAAAATACTAGGAAAATCATACAAATGGATAAAAAATGTAAGAGTTACTTTAAGACTCCGTAAATTCTATTTCCTTCTTGTCCTCAAAATTTAGACTTCTCATCACCTTCTTTATTAAAAAATATAATTCACTCTGCCAGAAACTACATCCTATAATGTACTAATGAACAGCCTTAATTAGCAAGCAATGTTTAAATTTAAAATATAATGCGATTACATAAAATTAATACAACCTCATCAAAACAAATGAGGGATCATCCAACAAATTTCTGTCAATTTCTTGTTTCTGATTGGATGTTAAATTAACATCGATTTAGAATTGACAAAATATACCATTAATAATACACAGTAAGTATCACACCTCCAGATGAGTAAATTTCTAAGAAATTTGTTAAATTTCTAAGAAATCTATTGTTAACTGTAACACTGGTGTGTCCGTGGTCATTGAGGGATTCAATTTAACAAAAATCATTACAAACTTAACACCTAATAGAGTTGGTGGAAGCAAAATTTATGTCTTTCACAGGTTTAATTACACATTATAAAGCTGAATAAAAGAATTGAAAATTAATGAGATAAAATAAATGATAAGCAAAAATGAATCATTATTTTGTCAAAAAATTTGTACAGTAATAGGCATATACAATCTATACCAAAAAAATATTATAAGTACTATGAATATGTGTTGTAATACTGAAATTCACCTCATAGTTAACTAATAGATTATAGCATTCCTCATATCGTCCTGTTTCAAATAAATGGTCCGCCGATTCAAAAATTGATGGGATTCTATTTAGTTTCTTTTCATCAGTTAGCTTGCTTTTGCTGGTGCTTATTGGCCAAATAAATATAAAGCTTACATATTTTTTTATACTTGTATTAGATATAAAATATGATTTCCCCTGAAATTAAATTGTATTGTAAAGAAACAATCATGAGTGAATTTTTATGTATGTTCCACAGTTAAATAAATGATTTATTGCATAAAATATAATTTTATTCAATAAAACATTTATATTTATTAAAATTCATTTCCTTTTTAAAACTTGTAGGCTAATTATATTTTTTCTGATATATTTTTACATATAAAAGAACAAATTTCAAAATAATTGTAGATAGAACAAAAAAACATATTTTGTTATCAGAACCACATTACATATTATAATATTATCTCTTATTATGTGTTAACTAGGTAACTAAAAAACCTAATAAATATATATTCTGATATGTTAATTGATAACATTATAAATTATAATAGCTACAACTGTTTTAACATTAAATAAATGCTTTAATCTTGACTTAAATACAAAAGTAAATAATGACAAGTAACGGCGTGATTTGTTATTTCACACACTATTATTATTTTGTAATGAGTACTACGAGTATTTTAATTGAGTAGGTAGGCATTGAATTAAATTGTTACTATCTTGTAAGTACTACGAAACAACAATTAAATGTTCTTCGCGTGTAAAAACTCGCCTGTGGCATAATCACATTGTAAATATGTTTATGAATGTAATATTTTATCAAATCAGTATATATCTTTGATTTGAACATAAACACTTTCATAACTATTCTTGTAAGTAATTTGAACTGTTCCTGGTATATGATTTGAACTATATTTTTATTTGGATTTTAATAGTTTAAAAACTTAGAACCAAACATTTGTCATCCATAAACCAAACTTTAGAGAGTAAAAGTTAAAACTAAACCACAGATTACGCAGACATAAGAGTCTAAAGACATGACCATAATCTGTAATGATAGTATAATAACTTTAAAGTTGGGGGCTCACTAAATAAAGACTAAAGGCTGGCGTCCTTTAGGTCACCGAGTCGAGCCGAATCGAACCTCGTATATATTAAAGGCTGGCGTCCACTAGGTCGCTGAGTCGAGACGAATTGAACCGCAGAAATTCGCCTCCCATATATTTAAGCCAGGCGTCGACTACAGCCAAAACGCGTTGAATCGAGGCGAGTTGACTCGAGTCGCATTTATTCCTTGTGCGCCTATTTCTGTCAAATCTAATCGAATCGCTCATTTATCAGTTATCACAACTCGTTAGCAAAGGATGTCGTGAATGCACTTCGATCTTTTTAACTCTAAAGTGTATAAACCTATACAGATAGATAAAATTGAAGTATGTATTTGTAAGCTCAAAGTATCAGTTTTTATCAAATGAACATGAGTTGGGTATATGTACTTATAAGAAAAACAAAATTTTTAAAATGTTTGTCTGTCTCTTTGTCTATTTGTTCCGAATAATCTCCGAAACGGCTTGACAAATTTGGACGGGACTTTCACTTGCTGCAGATGTCTGATGTTATAAAGAGTAAATTAGGCTACTTTTATTTTAGAAAATGAATTAGGGTTCCGCTAAAAAAATTGAATAGGTACCTAGGGACGAACCCGAGCGAAGCGAGGGTAAGTTTCTAATATACAGTATAATGTATACATATAACAAAATTATAACTAAGCCGAATCTGTACATTAAATATTTTTTGGAAAATATTATTGAAATAGACATTATTATCGATATAGAGGCCGAATCTATACTTTTTAGGAATTTTTGTCTATCTGTCTGTCTGTCTGTTACCGCATCACAAAAAAACTACTGGAGGGATTTTGATGAAATTGGTACGATGATAGCTGGTTATCCGGGTCAACATATAGGATACTTTTTACTGCGGGAAAATATCTCATCTCTAAGAAATCTATACTCAACGTTAAAACGTAAATAGGGAGCGGGAACGAAACCGAGCGGAGCGAGGGTGAGTCGCTAGTATGCAATATAAATTTAAATTATAATTAAAACATGATCTAAATAAAAAATATGTAGTTTAAGTATATTGTAAAACAATGTTGTATACTGAGCTTAATAATTAGTATTTGAAAAAATATAAACTTCATATTAGATGGCTTTTTATATTTTTAACTTAGCAACATTTTTTAAAAATCAATTTCTGTGCGGTCCAAGGGCGGGTGTACTGTTGACAGTTCTGTTTGGTGTAGTGCTACTGAAATTGGTGTTTTAGACATGTTTTTAATCTAAATTATTTCTAGGACATTGTTATCACTATGCAGAGATCAGGTAATAAATATATTTTTACGGATAGTATTATACTCAAATATATCTCTAGCGCTAATGTAATTCGCGCCAATTATGATGATATCAAATTTATGATTTAAATATATTGTTTCGTTGCAGTTTGTTGAATACTATAAATTAACTATATTTTTAATGTTATAAATAGTATTGTGACAGATAATAACTTTTTAGATTTCCGATATCTTTTTATAACTAAGCCGTAATATAAAGAAACATTGTATAGTTACAAATCTAACTTCAAATATAATAAGTTACATCAACTCTTATTTACTTTATTTGTAAATTTATTAATAAACTTAATTTATATAAGTATTTCTAATTGCTTATCAGCTTATAGAAAAGTTGTTTATTATGAGTTAACTGTTTATATAATGCTTGTCTATAATTACATTTCTGCTCAAATAGCAAATCTAATAAGCATTAGTATTTAATTCTGCACGAGATAGCTTAGTAGATTCAATATAGAATAGGTACACACTTTTTGATATATTATTTTACTGTTTAAACTTAATGATATCAAGCACTCATCAGAATTGGCCAATTATTGTTAATTTTTTATAAACACACCAATGTCTTCATATTTTTTTCACAGCTAAGTCAGTCCTTAAATCATTTATTTATTTTAAGCATTTAAGAAAGTATGTCTTCTTCTTTCTAACATCTTTTGCCTCAGCAATTACCAAATTTTTTTAAATGTAAGGTATTTTATATATATAGTCATTGTATATTTGTATCAAATTTTGATATAAGTAAATTTTACAGAAAATATATATTTTATCATGGACTCCAGAATGGAATAACCTATTTTGATCTTGTTTTTTTTTGTTTGAAAGGTGAATTAGTCAGGAGTGTTCTTTAGCTATGTTTCATAAAAATAGGTTGAAGATGGTCAGGGGTTTTTAAATTTTTAATTTAATTTATTGGGATTAGATGTAGGTTAGCCTTTATCTTATCTCACTTATTTTATACTAGTGTTCATTCAGTGGTCAAAATTCAACCATAATTATTATTTCTATCTATATAAAAATGTTTATATATGAAAAAAATTGTTATATAATATATTATTATGTATGATAATGCTAAAGCTTGTTGTTAATAGCTACTAAAAATTCAAAATATAATCAATTCACAAGCAGAGGTTGTGAATTGATTATATTTTTACTAAGGTACTTAAGGTACTGAACTATTTTGTCTTTGCCTATTTATACATTATATAGATTCTAAAGAACCACATTATATTTGATGGTCAAATAAAAAAAAACTTATTCTACAAACAGTAATCACATATACAATCTAAATATATTTAAGTTGTTTTTCCCCTCTACCTCTAATTTGTTTCAATTCTTTTAAACACTTGCATCCTGAAAATAATGTTTTATTAAACTTTATTACTTTGAATAAGGCCTAGACGATTAGTATTTTATTGTAGAACAATTTATACCTTTATAATCTGTTAAAAATATACCACAACATTTTTTAAATGCTTATAAAAATTGTTTCTTTACTATATTGTTTTTAAAATTAAATGTGAATAATTAGGAAGTTTATTTCTGCATATAATTATAAAAAAAATGGCAATTTTTTTTTAAATTGGTTATTACATTAGAGAATGAAAAATTGAGTATTTGATATGTATGATTAAAACTTGTTAAATTATTGAGTACTTAAGGCTGACCCTGTCTTTACCTGGCTATCAGGCTCACTATGTCTGCCTGCTCAAGTATTTTTTTTACTGATAAGACTATTGCAGGGAAACTCTGTTATCGTATTTTTATTCAGGGTATAATAAATCCCATTTATAGATTCATCCAGCCACATATGTTGTGTAATACAACTTCAAAAAATGCAATTAAAAAAATCACGAATTATTAATTAGTATTGTATGTATGTACCAAATTACCCATAAAACACTTAATTAAATATATATTATACTAGCATTGCCCGCGGCTCCGCCCGCGTTCAGATGACTAAAAACCAAATTCTTAGGTTTTACATATTAGAATACTCTTACAATGCAGTTTTTGTATTTTTTTCTCTGAAATGAGATATTTTCCCGCGGTAAAAAGTACCCTATATGTTGACCCGGATAACCAGCTGCCATCATACCAAATTTCATCAAAATCTGTCCAGTGGTTTTCTCGTGATGCGGTAACAGACAGACAGACAGACAGACAAAAATTCTAAAAACTATAGATTCGGACTCTGTATCGCTAATGTCTATTTCAATTAGATTATCAAAAAAATATTTATTTACAGATTTGACTTAGTTACAATTTTATTATATGTATAGATAGATGTACAATGTAAAAATGTGACCTAATTATGAGATTTTGCTTAGTAAAAAGTTTTACATTGCTCTCTTTTTCTTATATATTTTATAGTTTTATTGTTTAGTGACCATAAAGCGTGTAACTTTGTACTCTACTAAAAGCTGTGTTCTCTTGCGGAACCTGACCGTCATGACACGCCACAACGACGTCCTGCCGCTGTAATTGACACCATTCTTTACAGTTATCCTCAATAAGTCCAGTAGTTTTTGTCCTATGATTATAAGAATACCATGATATGTTTATCTTCAAAATCTGTTCATATAACACTACACAGTAATAGATTTCTCAATTATTTTATTATTGGAATTGTTCATGAATGCGCCATGGGATCGAAGTCCGCGTTAAATTAATACATCTGTTGACGTTTGCGTTATAATAAATACATATAAAGTATTTGAGAACAATCAAGTCTTATTGCGCTGGATGACAAAAATATGCATTGTTGTAAATTTAAAAAAAAAACAATAAATTGTATTATCGACATAGCAATAATGTGTTAAAAGTAATAAAATGTAATTGTTATTTACGTTATGATTGTTAAAATTGACCTCAGAAAAAGGGCATCAGTGCCTAAAGGCATAAGAGGGCATATATACCACCCCTGACGTGTAGGTATCTGCTAAGTTGCAAATTCTGTACGCGTATTGAAATAACTTGGGAGTGCAATTGCATACACTCCGAGAGTGTGGCCGCTACTCATTGCTCAGTTCCTGTAGACGTGTGCGAGAATCGTCTCCTCTTTAAACTGTAACGCGTTATTATTTACGTCGCACGTTTAAATACCTAGTGATAGTTCAGCTTTAGGTAGTTCTCTAAATATTCAAACTTCGTCTAAAGATTACAGAGTGTTTGGGCGACAGATTGTTTACACACAGATTGATTCAAATGTCGGATCATTTCAACAGTGACAACAGTGCGTTTGTTATAAATTAACATGGTCATATTTTGTTTTATTTTTATAAACAATACATAATTAATCCAGAACGCGAGAATTGTAAATATGGAATCCTCGGATACTCCTGTCGTTTCATGTAAGATATATTATAATA